TACTTATTTACTTACTTACAAATTGAAGGTCTGTGTTCATTTATTGAGATCTGTGGCAACCCCGTATGGAGCAAGCCTATCAGCGCCATTTTAACAACAGCATTTGCTCATTTCATGTCTCTGATTCACATTTTGGTAATTCTCACAGTATTTCAAACTTCATTATGTTTGTTATGGTGATCTGTGATCTTTGATGTTACTTTGTTTTGGGGTGCCATGAATCATGCCCATGTAAGAGGGCAAAATTAATGGATAAATGTTATGTGTGTTTTCACTGCTTCCCTAACTAGTTGTTCCCCATTTCTTTCCAGGCTTTCTTGTTAGGGGCTAATGCAGCTGTTGACTTTCAGTTGAAACAGATGTTCACTGACCATTTTGAAAATCCTAGGGCCCTTCAGAATTATGCTAAATGTACTCTGTGCTCCATAAATAGAACAAAGCCTGGATGACAGCACATCTGTTTACAACATGGTTTACTGAGTATTTTAAGCCTACTCTTGAGAACTCCTGCTCAGAAAAAAGTTCTTTCAAAATATTACTGCTCATTGACGCTCATTGACAATGTATCTGGTCCACCCAAGAGTTCTGATGGAGATAGACGGATGAACATTGCTTTCATGCGTGCTAACAGCATCGATTTTGCAGCCCATGGATCCAGGAGTCATTTCAACTTTCAAGTCTTTTAATTTAAGAAATACATTTCATAAAGCTAGAGTTGGCATAATGATTCCTCTGATGGATCTGGTCAAAGTACACTGAAAACCTTCTGGAAAGGATTCACCATTTTTTTATTTTTTAAAAGATTTTATTTGAGAGAGCTAGAGAGAGCACAGATGGTGAGGAGGGGCAGAGAGAAAAGCAGACTCCACTTTGAGCAGGGAGCCCGACATGGGGCTCGATCCCAGGACCCCGAAATCATGACCTGACCTGAAGGCTGACGCTTAACCAACTGAGCCACCCGGGCACCCCAGGATTCACCATTTTAGATGCCATTGAAAAGATTCGTAATTATTGAGGAGAGGTCAAAGTATCAACAGTAACAGGAGCTTGGAAGGAGTACAACCCTCTTGGATGATTTTGAAAGGTTCAACACTTCAGTGGAAAAAGTAACTGCAGTCGGGGTGGAGGGAAAAACTAGAAGTGGGGTCTGAAGTTATGACTAAGCTGCTACAATCTCATAATAAAACTTTACTGAATAAGGAGTTGCTTACATGAGCAAAGAAAGTGGCTTCTTGAGATGGAATCTACTGACGAGGATGCTGTGAAGACTCCTGAAATGACAAAGAACTTGGACTATCCCATCAACTTAATAAAGCAGCAGCAGAGTTTGAGAAGATAGACTCCAATTTTGAAAGCACTTCTAATGTGGGTAAAATGCTATTAAAAAGCACTGCCTGCTACAGAGAAATCTTTCACAGGAGGAAGAAATCTTTCATGTGGCAAACTTCATTATTTTAAGAAACTGCCACAGCCACCCCGACCTTCAGCAACCACCATTCTGAGCAGTCAGCAGCTATCAACATTGAGCAAGACCCTCCACCAGCGAAAAGATTACAACTTGCTGAAAGCTCAGATGAAGGTATTTTTAGCAATAAAGTATTAAGGTATTGCTTTTTTAGACTACAATGATATTACACTACAGTGTAACTTTTATATGCACTGGGAAACCAACATAGCCATTTGACTCACTTTATTGCAATATTCACTTTATTGCAGGGGTCTGGAACTGAACCCCCATTATCTCTGAGGTATGCCTTTATACTGAAATAGGTTACGCTATTTTATAAAGAGCTGTTCCTTCCTTGAAAATGGTCCTAGGAATCAGGTCACAGACTGTCATACGCCTAAAGCAAGTCCATCATTTTGCACTTGATTCAACCTCTTCAGACTGTTTCAGCTTGAGACCGCCCACTGAATTGCCCACAAAAATACAAACAAAGGTGTCAAGGGCTGGCAGCTCCTCAGAAATGGAATTTATAAATATTCCTTAAAATAGAACTAAACCCATCTATTACTCTAAGGACATGCAGATCTTTAAAAAATATTTTATATTTTCTTTTTGTAATATTTAAAAGCATAATTCTAGTTGGAAAAAAGTTGAAACTGCTAAAATTGGTTGTTAGATACCAAAAACTGGCCAATATATTGCTACTTCTCATTTATCGATCTCCCTTAACTAAACATAAGAGTATCCTGTAAGGGTGCCTGGGTGGCTCAGATGGTTAAGCATCTGCCTTCGGCTCAGGTCATGATCCCAGAGTCCTGGGATCGAGTCCCGCATCGGGCTCCTTGCTCCTTGGGAGCCTGCTTCTCCCTCTGCCTCTCTCTCTCTCTGTCTCTCATGAATAAATAAATAAAATCTTTAAAAAAAAGAGTATCCTGTAAAGACATTTAGAGGTCCATATATGCAACTATCCCAAATTAGGGCTGCTTAGTTCAGATTCCGTAAGTAAATAAAACACTGTAATGAGCATATGCAAGCACTGCTATAAAATTAACACTTTGTCTACTATATAAATTTGTAATGTCCTAAATTTTTTTTTAATTTTGAAAGAGAGAAGAGAGAGAATGCGAGTGAGCAGGGGGTAGGGGCAGAGAGAGAAGCAGGCTCCCAGCTGAGCTGGGAGCCCGATGTGGGACTCAATCCCAGGACCCTGGGATCATGACCTGAGACAAAGGCAGACGCTTAACCAACTGAGCCACCCAGGCACCCTGAAATGTCCTAAATTTTTAAAGGGTTTGCCATTGGAAAAACTTCCATTATCTCTTTTCTCCAAGGTTCTGATTATTTAAAATATTGAAGTTGAAAGTAATGATTATATTTTATTAGTTTTACCTGGTTATCTTCCCAAGGGAATATAACCTTTCCAACAAATAATATAAAACCTTAATTATTACATGAAATATTCTGGGGGCACCTGGGTGTCTCAAGTCGTTAAGCGTCTGCCTTCAGCTCAGGTCATGGTCCCAGGATCGAACCCCACATCAGGCTCCCTGCTCAGCGGGAAGCCTGCTTCCTCTCTCACTCCCCCTGCTTGTGTTTCCTGTCAAATAAATAAATATTAAAAAAAAAAAAAAATCTGGGTAACAGATTACTGTGACCTTGGTCACCCATGTGAACTACCTAGTCTCTTCTAGGTTGCCTTTAGGCACTAGTCTACCTATTTTTGGATACCTAGCTCTTCAACTGAAAATTGAGGGTTATCAATTAAAAACTCGTTTCCAATTCTGAGTCTATCTCCTCTACCACTTTCCCTCTTTTGAAAGTTACTTTTAGCTAATTTTTCCTTCTCGTAATTAGCAATACAGTCAGAATCATGGTTCTATTCTTAAATATGCAATAACTTCCTAATTGACCCGTGGAAAAGAAGTGTCTCATACTTGGGCTAATTACAATGCTGAATTTGGATAGTTTTCTTTCATGCTTTTTTCAGCTGTTTCCCTTTATATGTTTCTATTTTAGTCCCTGAGCCCTCAAGGGCTAAGCACTATACTTGATTCCTTTAACACATTCCCACCCGCTGTTTTCCCACTCCTATTCCGAATCCCCCACCCCAACCAGATGGTATTAGTCTCTTTTCCTCTTGAAAACATTTCTTAGGTGACTTCCCTAGTTTTCTTCAGCCTTATAGTCTTCCAAGTAGTTTGTCCAAAATTAGGCCACTACTCTTAAGAATGATAGCGCTTTTCATGAAAAAGTAACCATTTCCTCAAATTCTGAATACATTAGACCCACAACTGTTTCCAGAATCCAAGGTTAAAACGAGGTCAATTTGGGGGGAGCAGAACAGAAACTCATTACAATTTACCATAAACCCTCGATTTTGCTTGACACAGCAACAACTCCACATTTTGCAAAAGTAAGCAGTATTAGTAATACTTTAGAAATCAGCATTATACATAAAAATCTCAATTATGTGTGGGCTGACAACAATGACAAATGATAGAAATTTTAGAAAAAAATCTAAGGTAAAGACATAATGTCCTAAGGGGGGAAAAATCAAATAAGAAAATTAAAGAAATGGAAAGAAAAGACCACTTTAGGATTATAAAAGTTATATTTATTCACGATGCTACATTTATTGCATTCCCTTAGAAAAATGGAGAACTGTTTATGTACCCAATTTGCACATATAAAACTTTATACAAATTATGTGTAGCACATAAAGGCCTCTGGTACAGCTAAAATCCTGACACTACAATTTGGGTAATCCTGCTTCAGGGTCTCCAGTTTATCAAGTCTGTTCATAGAAAATAAAAACTGGTATTATACTCAATCTTGCCGTTCACACTTAGAAATTATTTTAAAATATAAAAATTTCAATTACTCTAAAAACTCAAGGTAAACTGGAAGGGGACACGCATTCTGTTACCAATTTCAATTTAACAGTATGACAAATCCATACTATGTTTTGGCTGGGTCTTTTTAAAAAACAAAAAACCACCTTAGTTTTGACATCATCTTTCTAAGTTGTGGCTGCTTCGAGAAGGTAATTTGTCAAAACATTTACCAAACAATTAAAAATAATATTCCTTTTACAAAATAGTACAGTAACACTTTAAGGAACCAGAAAATACTAAATGTCTTTGGCTATACAACTAAAAGGTCAGTCTTCCAACAGAATAGGGCATATTCACACCTCAGAACCAACTACAGAAACAGAAAGCATAACAGAAATATGCATAGAATTTAGTGATAATTTGTCTTGCCTTTTGTCCCATTCTACCCATGTAATAATCAAGGAGAATGCAATTTACATAATCTTCCCAGATGAGACTCTATATAGCACTACAAAGATACCCAAATTTCTGCAAAGGCAAAGTGAATTAAAACAATTACACAACTAAGTGAAGACCAAAGGGACAAATGTTGTTTGCTATTTTTTTAGCTGTTTCCTTGTTTTTTAAGCTTTGAGTGTAGAAATTATAGCTGATAAACAAAGAGTCACAATCTTCACAAATGGAACTATAACAGAAAAATAAATCAAATGAAACATTTATTAATAAATGAAGCCTGTTTTATTACTTCAAGTGTTAATGATAAAAAAAATTTCAGCACAGCTGTTGCATTTAAAAAAGTGAAACTACATACTATGTTTCTAAGCTCAGTAAACAGATGAACCTGATGTCTTTGAATGACATAACAATTGAGCATTGTACAGTACATCTTATGAAGACCCGTAAATTAAAGAACTACTGGTTTAAAGTTAGTGATTATGAAACAAGTATGTATTCATAGTTTCAGCTTCTTTTTTCTTCCTCGACCATCAGGTGCTCCATCCATTTTACGTTTCTGTGTCTACAAATGAACAGAAGGATTCCTTTTCATCACAAGACTAATATTAAAGGTAAAATATATGGACTCTTCTACTTTACTAATAACTGCTACACAGTAGCAAGTATTAGACTTTCTTACCCAGAATAATCTTAATTCTCCAAGTTCTTATCTACTCCTTTTACAAACACAAAAATTTTAATGCCAATGAAATAATTTGTAATAATCAATACCCCAAACAAGTATAACATGCCCTCATACCAAAAGAAAGCAGTACTAATTATTTTATGAGGTTTTACATAAATACCAGACATTACTCAGGCATTCATTTACTCACGACTTTCTAAATTACTACTAAATAAAAAGACTTTTTCTCCCTCCTAAAATACCTGTTTTCACATTGCTAAGATATCACTGGGACAATAAACTAAATCTTAGAAGTCAGTAAAGGTTGTAAAGCCACTGCTTTCCTATTATTTCTTTACATATTCTAATTTATACCTTGCAGTCTGCTCCCAAGGTCAAGTAGAGGCTCTTGGCATTCACAAGACATACCTTCCCAGATTTTCACAAATCCCCAAATTATGGAATACCATCATAACGGGATATTCCCCACACGATGCAATCAAATGTAATTTATACTTTTAAAAGCAACTCAAGGCTGCATTTACAAAAAAGACTAACACATCAATGATAGCCAAGTAATGTTCAAACTCTTACAAGTCTTCCAAGAAAATATTTACATATTCATGAATACTTACCGAAGGTTTTGGTCCTCTCTTCTTTTTCTCTGCCTTCTCCTTTTCTTCTAGTTCCATGTTTTCTCTTTCAATCAAGGTAATTAAGGTGTTACACCTCCTCTGGAGCTCCTAAATTGTAAAGATAAATTTATATGGTAAACATGTATTTTCCACCTACAAGTTTTCAGGATACCTAGGTTTTAAAATTATAACACTTTAATAGTGTAGTATGTAATTATACATTCCCCCACAGATAAAATCTAAAACAGCCAAAAGAACTGATTTTCATATATAATCCATGCTATGAGGATAAAGATATCAATGTTTTTACTTCATTATTTAAAATATTGTTATTTATGTCTTCTTAAATCCTTCCTTCCCTTACAAATTCAAGCAGTGAAAATAAACAATATATGCTACACTGCTCCTTAGTACCTATGCCTGAGAACTAGCCTATATATCCAAAACTGTAATATAAGCACACCTATTTCAGGGTCAAAATCAACCAGAACTTTACTAAAGTATATATCCTCTTTCCCTTTAAAGCACAGGTACTAGAATCACGGTAGTCAGTGTACCAAATGCCAGCTTTCCCAATCGTGGAAAAGTAGCTGAGATCTACATCATCTCTCTAGCAATCTACAACCCTCTGTGGGGGTTGTAGAACGTGTAGTGTAGCAGCAGCATATTAACTCTGAAAACAACAGAAGGCCTTTTGCATCATTGCTATTTACTTTTGTAAACAAAATGGTTTTCTTGTAAAAACACACAAACCACAACAAAATCATTTAAAAATACTGTTACAGAAGACACCATACAAGGTTTAGAAATATTTGCAATATAATCTAAAGCTAGAAGGTAATAAAGTTCTGTACTTAACAGGTAAACTGAGGCACACATGCCAGAATGTGGTACAGATGTGCTAAGGTCTCAATACTCTTGGCTCTAAGGCAAGAGTATTTATCAGAAGGGGCCATTCACATACAATCATTTCTTATGTGTGCTCTAACATGAAACATGTTTGGAAATAACTGTTTTAGACCATGGTATTGTACTGGTAAATCAACGTGATACTGCGTTTTGTTTCACTCACTACAAAATCATTCTTATTAGCTATATAAATTGTTCCCACTTAAAGACAGAACATAGAGCTGTAGCAACTGAATCATTCTATCCTCAAATTTTATTTATAATGCAACATTTCCCAAACAAGGATACACAAACAGTAGCCACTGTTAATGTTCAGTGAAAAATAATCCTTCAGTGGTCAAACATGAAAAGACTGTGTACTGTCCCTAATCTTGAAGAGTGACAACATACTTTAAATACACGGAGAAAAAATCTCACTATATAAAATGTTTTAACTTTGCCTATCCCAGTATATCCCAAACTTAAGACTACAAAACATTTTGGGCATTATCATCCTAAAGAACACAAGATGGAAGTTAAAAGCTTCAAAATGGTAAAATGCATAATAAAAAAGGCAATTCATCAAAGCTAAACTTTCCTGAATTAGAACTTTAGGTCATTAGGAATGGAACTTGCTTATCAGAAACACTCTGGTATTGAAAATAAAGTGTTTTACTACATCAAGCTATTTTAAAATAATCCAGACAGGCAAATGCCTGAATATGAGTGAGTTCTTTCTTCATAGAAATGTGTTCATTTATAAAAGCAAAATTATCTGAAAAATACAAGTTTTAAATTATGATCATCACATTCAAAAGGTGAAACTGATGGTGATGTTTCCTATTTAGAACCTGATTAAAGTAAATAAACTAGTCCTTATCCTATGTAGTTATGTTAAAAGTTATGTGATACTAAAAGAGGATGGAACCAAGAAATTTTTTTAAGTTATCCATGATATTAGATTTTTAACTGTAGATGAGAACTGTTTTCTAAGGAACTGATTTAAACCCATACTTACAGTACTGTAACAAAAATATACTCCAAAGATGGGGTGAAACCACAATTTTCTCTTAGTAAGTTACCTACCTTCAAGAATATTAAGCAATACTTACTCTGAACTGTTTGCTACATTACACAGAAAGGCCCAGGGACTCACCATTGCAGTTCTGGACTTAAGAAACCAGTCAAATCTGAACTGAGGAGAGTTGCGAATACACTGTCGTAATTCATCATAAACGTTTTCTTTGTCGAATCCAAGTTTGTGAAGCATACAAATTAGGAAACGATCCTCTTCTTCAGTGTAGTTTTTCCCTTTGTTAGTACCATATGATATTCTCAGCTGATGAAAAGGTGCTTTGTACCGTCCAATCTATCAAGTAAAATTTTATATAAAATATAAATCCTATATAATCTGTATTTCAAACTTAGCTTTAGTAAAATTAGCTAAAAATGTTCCATTCCAAATCAGGATTTTCTATCCAAAGCACCTCAATCGCATTATATGACCTTTGCTGTGAAAACAACTTCATAGTCTTTATTATTCCAAAGAGAAATACAGGCTCAGACTTTGTAGGAAAAAGCTAATCATAGGGACCTCTGACCCAAATATATCAACTGAAGTACTAAGGTAAATTCTGTTGAGAATACTTATAACATCTGAATACTGTTCTTTGAAGAAAATCTTCATTTTAAACCATTTCATTTCCTTTTATTATTAACATATCATGTATTATTTGTTTCAGCGGTACAGGTCTGTGATTCATCAGTCTTACACAATACACAGCACTCATTTCCTTTTAAAAAGTTACTTTAACTCGCATATTCTCAGATAGGAATTATATCACTAACTACCATATTTATTAATATACAAAGTACCTTCGTATCAAGTGCTTTTTTGATACTAATTCTTCTTTGAATTCTTGCCTCTCCCCTTTCGATCTGAGCCATAATCTTCTCTATGTCCTGGAGTTCATTGCATCTTTCCCAGAATACAGCTGGTAAAAGAGTAAAAATTGGACAGATGGGGCAAGTGGATGAAATGGGGAAAATATAAATAATTTATCATAAATAATTTGCTAAGGATTAAGAAATGTTTCCATTTCTCTCACGTCTAATACTACAAATAAGTCAATTATTTAATTTCTCAGTTTCCTTAACTGTAAAAAAAATGAGATGAACTGGATGATTTAAGTATCTCCCAACTCTTAAATTTCTATTCTTGAATTCTAAGCACACTCATCGCCGCACAACTACCTCTTCATTTGACAATCCAAGTGATTTTAGGAAATACAGGCACATAGTACTTGAGAAGTTATAGAAAAAAATAAAATGAAAGCACAATTATTCAGTGACCTATTCTTATTTCCTTAGCAATAGCCAGTTAGTTAGGGTAAAAAAAAAAAAATAGTAACAACTATGCCATTTTAAAAAAGAACATTTTCCAACTCAGTTTTTTAAAAACACAAAAAGTAAGGACCTAAAAGTGGTGGCAAAATTTAGCTTATCAAAACATAATTCAGAATAAAATCTGAACTCAACAGCTCTCCAAAAACCTGAGAACATTCTTATATCTATTAAAATAATAAAAGAATTACCTGAATACTCAATAACTTCTTCCGGAGTTTTTCCTTCTACTTCCCTTGCTATGTTTTCAATGTCATCACGACCCCACTTCTCATTAGCTTTGATAAACTGATTAAAATCTCTCTTATTCCAATTGGTAAATCCCTTCAAGGCAATGGAAACAAAACATTTAACAACAGCACACTGAACATGGATAAGATGCTATTACACTTACCAATATTTCTAAAGTATTAGAAAATTTTCAATTACTCTTAGGTTTTAAGTTCTTTTTAAAAGTGGTAGCTTTTCATTCACCTAACATGTGCATTTTCAGCAATACATCACATATTGCTTACATAACCAAACAATTAAATCTCAGTGGAAGAGCTTAAGTAAGGAATGCTGCATGAAAAAGTAACATTTTTGCTGAACTCTGAAGGAACAGCAGGAGTTTGCAAACAGCAATAAACATCCTAAGACTCAAGAGCAAAGATGTATCAAGTGGGAAAATGGAAGAAAAATAAAACTTCAAAAATAGGTTAAGGCCAGATTCTAAAAGACCCTGATTAAACTATAAAGACTGTTAAACAAAAGAGTACCAAATAGAGACTTGTAATTAAGAACAGTAACTTAGTACTGTTCCAATGCGGAAGAGTCACAGGAAAAAAAAATGAATACCGGAAAAAAGGTAATCAAAAGGATATCCACTCTACCAAGGCTGGTACAAATCTATAAAATCTACTCAACTACCTCAACAACTACTGACAAATCAAAATGTAGCATATACCCATATGCTCATGCTTTATCATTTCCAATTACTCCACTTTTGAAAGAAAAAACTTGTACTTCTTTGTATACCCCAACATGACCTAAACACGGTACCTTACAAAATAATGGTTACTAAATTTTATTTTGAATAAAGACTCTATATACCTGTGTTAGAAGCTTCTCTTTTTCCTCTAACTCTTCGTCATTAAGGGGTTCAGCTTCATCAATTTTAAGCTGTTCTTCTTTTTGTGCCTGTGCTGCATTTGGTAGGTCAGGATTTCGAGGCACCTAAAAAAAATATTTTTTTATGTCCTCCATCAGCAGATTTTAGGAATTATGTGTTGAACTAAATTCTTAACCAACCAAATGATATTTTACACGTTTTAATACAACCATGAAAAAACAAAACAAGAATTTGTTTTAAACTTAAAACAAACCAGATTAGTATGAACAGTGTTATTCCCATTACCTTGTACCCAATAGTTTTTCTGTAATAGAGAATTTCTTTTTCCAATAATTCAAATAAACGTGGAGGAAAGAACTGGAAATCCTGAACATTAGGTTGTTTTGGAGGTCGAGGAGCCTAGAGAAAAAAAAAAGTTATCATCCATAAAAAAGAAATTCTTTTGCTTTAATTAATTGTAATCTTCCCTTTTCCATAAACTATGATGGCCAATTCTCCAAGCAACTGAATCTATCATTAATAATGAACATGAGGGGTGCCTAGGTGGCTCAGATTGTTAAGCGTCTGCCTTCAGCTCAGGTCATGATCCCAGGGTCCTGGGATCGAGCCCCACATCGGGCTCCTGGCTCAGGGGGGAGACTGCTTCTCCCTCTCCCTCTGCCTCTCCCCCTGCTCATGCTCTATCTCTGTGTCTCAAATGAATAAATAAAATCTTAAAAAAAAAAAAATGAACATCAAACTTTAAATGCATATATTCACAACTAATTTTTATAAAACTTCTTAACAAAAACTGAAGGAAATACACTGTAAGAAACCACAAAAGATTCTAATTCTCAATCTGATTTAACTGTAAGAATATTAGAAAAAAAGGGACGCCTGGGTGGCTCAGTCGGTTAAGTGTCTGCCTTCAGTTTAGGTCATGATCCCAGGGTCGCGGGATCGAGTCCTGCACTGGGCTCCTCGATCAGGAGGGAGCCTGCTGCTCCCCCTACTTGTGTGCTCTCTCTCCCCACCTCTCTCTCACAGACAAATTTTTAAAAATTAAAATCTTAAAAAAAAAAATAGAATATAAGAAAAAAATTTACATTTCGGTATTTTTGGATACTTTATTGCTCTATCAACTCACCTTGGGTGCTTTGGGTTCACTGACACGAAGAGCTTCCCTAAAATAGGCATCAACAGCATAGTTGGCTTTTCTTTCTCGTTTAGGTGGCTCAATCCACTCTGTGAATGCAATCTAGCATATGGGAAACAATGCATATCACCAACTTTGATTATTTACAGTCGCAAATCTTAGGTGAACACAACTCACTGTGTACATCATTACAAATGCTGTTTGTAAATAGTGAGATATTCATTAGATCCTGGACTATATAAGCTCTACAAGGCTGGGGCTATGCTACTTTGCTCAAAACTATGTAATTAATACATAGGACAGTGTCTAGTGAATAGCATAGATATACAGCAAGTATTTCTTAACCAAATGGAGAACATTTGGGGGTTGGGGGGACGACCTACAGAATATATGCTATAACCCAAACTAGGAGAAAAATGTAGGTATGTATTTAGCCTAGAAAAAATTCAGAGGATATACAAGCCTAAATGTTACCAGAAAAAACATTGAGTAGAACTATTTTTTTCTTCCAACTTGTAGGTATTTTCTAATTTCTCTACATACTAACAAATATTACTTAAGAAACTAGGAAGTTTTTTCCCTTTAATTATTACCATTCAATTCTGTTTAAAAAAATAAATCTAGTAAGGTTGTGGCAATTTTTTTGCCAATTATTTTAATTTTCAAAGATTCCAATTATAAATCACCCCACACAATATATTTCAACTATAAATGTATACAGTAAGCCTCATTGCAGGAATTCTGAAAACATTTCAGAGTTTACTAACTGAAAATTCAACATTACATGTAAAAATGAAAATAATTTAGATGTGAATATACAGAAATGACTGCGCTGAGACAAATTTACAAGGCATTACACCTAACACTTAAAATTCCAAGTTTCAAGTAAAATAAACTCTTCAAGTAACCAAAATGTCCTTCAAAAATTACCTTTTGTTTTTCTCTATAATCCTCTCCTTCAAAGTTATAAACACTTGACTCTGTATCCATTGTAAAGTTTCTAAGTGAGCTTTCACCCATCTTGGAGAGCTTTTCATTCATCTCTGCAGTCTACGGGAAAAAAACACCCTATTAGATTGAGAATAAAAAAAAAAAACAAAAAAACTTGAGAACTGTAGTTAAAATAAGTTAGGCTTTGCACTACATAAAAGCTTTTTTTGGTTCACCTAACAAGTATTTCCTCAAACAGTCCTGATTTAAAACATGTTATATATTAAAAACATTATCATTTAACCTATTCCTCACCTTCTTTGCACCTCTTTCCAAAATACCATCAATATCCTCATCAGTAATCTCACTTTCTTTTGAAGCAAATACATGTGTTGCCCCATGTCTAATCATTTGAAGCATTTCATCTTTCCCAATTTTGTTCAGATTCTGATCCACAAGCCTTCCTGAAAAAAAAAAAATTGTACAATGTTAATCGAACAACATCTGTCTTACTGAAAACTTGGAACTTTAAATGTTAGATGTAATACCATGTATTTTGCCTCAAGCATCAATTGTTTATTCTGATAATTTTCATTTTCACATAAAACAACGTCAGATTCTTAGTTGTAAGCTTTGAAAGACTCTAATCTATCACATAATGAAGCCTACTGTATACCATCTCAATAAAATGTATTCTTGAATGGGCTGAATAATAGCAGAAGTTGGGATGTTTGAAAATAAAAATTATTAGCAAGATTTTTTAAAGTATCAACAGATGAGATCATTACAAAGACAAGAAGTTTCTGATAAGCAGAAAGACATCAATACTAATACATCAGCTTTTTCTTAGAAAAGTACAAAAAACAAGACAAAAAAAAGGTGAAGTACAAAAAAACCTTCATATTACCAAGCTTTAGCTAAGGACTGAAATATACATCAATTTCTGAAAATTTCCTAATCTTAAGAACTGAAACTCTTATTTTGATCATAGAAGACATTCAGCCTAAGAAAACTAAGATCTTCAATTGGTAGGAATTTGGCCAACCCTGTAATTTGTGTTTTCAAAAATACAGGAATCAAAACAAACAACCAAATACCATAAAGAATTATTTCTACCCTAAAGGGCCATTCACATAAACTTACATAAAGCTTCAATTTTTGTATTCCAACCAACTTGTATGACTTTCAAAGTTAGGATTTATCTTTAGAACGTTTCTTTGGTTTGAAAGCAATCTCACTGCTATCAAAATGTTCTCAGTCTTAACTGAAACTACTTCCCCATTGGACAGAGGAGGAGCTATTCAGACATAAAGCAGTTCTATAATTTCTCATTATTTTTAATTACATCCCTTACACTCCACAAACAGTAATACAAAGGTATCACCTAAGGCTTGCTATTTGACTAATGCCTACAAAGCTATTAGCACAAAATTTAGCTCTAAAATTTGCCCCCCAGGGCGCCTGGGTGGCTCAGATGTTAAGCATCTGCCTTCGGCTCAGGTCATGATCCCAGGGTCCTGGGATCGAGTCCCGCATCAGGATCCCTGCTCCTTTGGAGCCTGCTTCTCCCTCTGCTTCTCTCTCTCTCATGAATAAATAAATAAAATCTTTAAAATAAATAAATAAATAGATAGATAAATAAATAAAATTTGCCCCCCAAACCAAAAAACTAAGTAAAAAAACTCAGCTTTTCTAAATTGATTATAAATTAATTTTCATTTTTTTTAAAAAAGTGTTTCACAGATGAGAATAATTAAAAATATTACAAGGCAAATGTTTTTCGAAGAACGCGAGGGGGAAAAGAACTAGCCATTACATCAACATGAGAAACCTTTCTGTTTGGCAGGCTCCAGAGACTTTCATAAGTAAATACTTCCCTCTAATAGTTAATATAGTTCTTGGTCTTAGATGAGTCACTTCCTAGCTACATGAATGGTAAACAGGTGACTTGCCTCTACTTCTCATGCCAACCTCAAGCTGGCTAAAGGAGATAATGGATGCCAAGTATTTAGTACCTTGCTTGGCACAAAGTAAGCACTTGGTAATAAGTAATTATTAATAAAAACTAACAATAAGCCATCATTTATTTCACATATTTAGAGATGTGGCTAACAGTATGGTTGGCATTAACAGAATATGAAAGAAATGTAACATTCCCTTACTTACCTGGAAATTAAAAGCTGGTTAACAAAATGAAGTCACACAATATGAATCATCAGCGAACAATATAACAGTGTATCTCTCCTTATAAACAGATTAAAAGTACATGTTCATAATGCAAATGTGAGAATGAAAGAAACCATTATGAGCCTGAGGTTATTGAGGATTCCCACTCTCACCCTCTAGTCCTATTTATATAAATGTTTATTCTGGGTCTCCCCTCTCACTAAATTATAAACTCCATGAGAATAAGAACATTTGTTGCTTTCTTTCACCATTGTATTCTCAGCACTAAGAACAATGCCTCGTGTCTGGTGGCTGTTCAGTAAATAGTTGCAGACTAGAAAAAAAAATAACATCATTCTTTGTTTCATTTTTATTTCTTCATTTTACCCCAGAATAATTAATAGAGTACTTTTTAGTACATGTAAATTATACTCACCACAGCTCTATTTAATATGTACCACACTGAATGCTGGATATTTTATATACATTTCCCCCTTTAATCCTTAAAAATACTAAACTTTATTTCTCTTTATCCCCATTTAACAGATGAGGAAACAGGCTAAGATGGTATAAAAGAACTGCTGACTGGCAAAGCCAATATGCAAACTTCAACCTTCCTGAGCCCATACCTATCCTCTTATTAAAACTAAAACTTACTACTTTCTGGAATATGAATATTGTTCAGGCTGCCAGCTTGATTCCATAGATGCTCAATAACAAGAACCTCCTAAAAAATCTAGGAAAAAAATATTTGTTAATCCAACTTGGTAAATGTTTTAAAGTTCTAAGGCTCACCTTGTTGAATGACTATTGAATCCAGTCTGAGTTTCATCTCAGCACGTTCCACTATTCTTTCTTCCACAGTGTTATCAGTTATAAAGCGGAACACTCTAACGGTCTTGGTTTGTCCAATTCTATGTGCTCGGTCCTAGGCAAATTACCATGTTATTTTGAATACAGTTAAAAATTACGTAAGTAACATATGACTGTGTACACTGAAAAGCAAAATTAAAATATTCTCAAGTGTGGAAATTCTTACTGTAACAAAACTATCCTAAAAATAAATTTGTACTAGATTAGTATTTCCTAGATTCTCAAAGTTTCTCCATTTCAATCAAATTAATTGGTTATCAAAGGAAAACTTTTAGGAGGTATGGAACACAACAGATGCTGAATCCGTGAGAAACTATCTGGTTACTTTCACTAGATTATACTGATATAAATTTCACGTTTCCAGAGGCGCCTGGGTGGCTCAGTCCGTTGAGCACCCAACTCTTGATTTCCGCTCAGGTCATGATCTCAGGGTTCTGAGACCAAACCCCGCATCCCTTTCCCCTATGCTCCTCCCCCGGCTCCCGCTCTCTCTCACATAAAATCTTAAAAGTAAGTAAATAATAAAACTCACGTCTCCAAATAAGAAAAAGAAAATTATAATTAAGTTGGATGATAAGGTTTTTTTTTTTAATCTTTCTTAGGTTTAAATTCAAATTGTTTTTCTACCTAAATCATATACAAATTTTCGTTGCTAGGAGGGAAAAAAGTGACATAAATAAAAGAACTCCACAAATATAAATATCCCAGTCTTTAAATTCACCCAAATAACTACATCCAAGTAGTCAAATTAATTTGAATTCCATTTCTGTTTAACTTAAGTTCACAAAACACATTCTTACGAAACATCCCTATTTGTAACTGATCAATTTTCCTCAACCACCCTTATAGAGGATAGGATAAAAGCAACCAACACCAGAGTTATGGTCAACAATACCATGGGTCAAGTCATTAACAGTATCAAACTTAAGAATTTGTAAGTTTTCATATTAATCTACAGATCATAAATTTTCTCAACCTAAGAATGATCTTCCTGTTCTAGCCAAAGAACTCCCACACAGGGGTATAAATTTTAAGCATCCAACGTGGTAGGAAGGTTTGTAGCTCACCAAACCTGTTTCCCTTTCCTCCTAAGGCACAACTATACTATAATTTGCCAATTCCCTTGCACGCAGTTACGCTATGTGATTAAGTGCTGGCCAATGATTTTTTCAGGTCTGACCCATAAACAATTTCCTAGGCAATCCTCAACTCTATCCCCCTTCTGCCATCAGGATGCACAGGATGCAGCTAGACTCCAAGGTTCTAAGATATGGCAAAGCTGTGAGATAGACATATCCTGCTTTAGATGAGGGATCACCTACAAAACACCCTCTATGAATTATTAGGTCAGAGAAAAAACTCTACTGGGTTATATCACTGACATTTGCAGACCATTAGTTTGCTCTAATGAAAATATTAACCTCTAAGAAAATATTAAGAATATATTTACTGTTCTCTTACCATAGCCTGGAGATCTACTTGGGGATTCCAATCTGAATCATACAAAATTACTACATCAGCAGTAGCAAGATTAATGCCAAGACCACCAGCACGTGTGCTTAACATGAAAACAAACTTTGTGCTGTTTGGCTCATTGTATGCATTGATGGACTCCTATAGATATAAAATAAAACAAATGTCAGGGAATTATTTTATCTGATAATTTTTTACCTTCCCTCCCTGGATTTTACTCACTTGTCTCTCATCATGGGGTGTCTGCCCATCCAATCTACAGTACTCATAATTTCTCCACATGCAATAATCTTCCAAAATATCCAATACCCTTGTCATCTGACTGAAGATTAGTACTCGTGAACCTGTTAGCAAACAGAACAGCTCATTTTCAGAAGCTTCAAAAGTAAAAAAAACTTATTTAAAAATTTAAGGCTAATCAAGGGCGCCTGGGTGGCTCAGTCGTTAAGCGTCTGCCTTCAGCTCAGGTCATGATCCCACAGTCCTGGGATCGAGCTCTGCATCAGGCTCCCTGTTCGCTGGGAAGCCTGCTTCTCCTTCTCCCACTCCCCCCCGCTTGTGTGCCTGCTCTTGCTCTCTGTCAAATAAATAAAGTCTTTAAAAAAACAAACAAATAAATAAATATTTAAGGCTAATCAAGACTAAGACTAACCAGTTACCCCTCAATTCTAAGTTACCTAGCTGGTTATAAGAAAAAAACCATACATTATTTATTTATCCAAGTCAGTTTTTCTCCCCATTTTTCCCATAATGGCACAAACAGAAAAGGGTAATATCCGTACAACACACTAAGGTAAACGGAAAAGGTATTTGTTCTGGCCTGTATCTGTCCCAAGGCTGAGAGAATCATTCTTTTTATTCCACATGCATTTAAAAATAACCTTCCACCACCCCCACCACCACCGCAATTCTCCCATGTGCATGGCCCTGAACATTCCCCAACACATACCCAAAACCCATCTCATTCTAGTTCTGAAGACCCAATTCCAACTGAAATACCATAACAACATAAATGTGGCCTCACATCTACATGGTCATCTTTCACTTATGCCATGATTCAAGTTATTCAACTGCCTTCCATTTCTTTAGCCAGCTGCACAATGCCTTCACAGCAGAATGTATGAAGACCAAGGAGTCATCATAAAAAAATAAAGATTATGAAATTCTCTTGTCTCGGAAGCTGAGGCTGATAATCTACTGGTGTCTCACCTTGTACCCAAGATGCCTAAGGATGCTCAATAGTCCCCATTTTCCTTTCAGAGTTTAATGTAGCTTTCGTTAATATCTGAGTATTTCTACCAAGTTCTTGGGATTCCTTTCCACCAATTCAATCCTTTACTACTTAGCTTTCAAGAAAAGTATTTTAGAAAATATATTTCCACAAAAAAGTGTAAAAGCAAGAAAAAAGTAAACCAATTCACTGACAACTCTTAGGAGGCTGATAGTCAATATCCTAGAGGTGACTGGTACAAAAGTCATTCTTATGAAAACACACAAGAGAAACACAAATGGAAAAATATGAAATCTGACTATATTATTTCACATTACAGAATTGATAATTTGTGTATGAAAAGCTTTGATGTCTCGGACTTGCTTCAAATTAATCTGCGAGGAGGAAAGCAGGTATAGGACAGATGTAAGCAAGTTTTGCCATGAGTCTGTAATTACTGAAGCTGGCATCACACTAAATACACTCTACATTCATGTATTTTAAATACATCTCTATACATATTACATACTCATTTTCACATAAAAAGTAAGCATGTTACAAACAAAACTGCTTTGGGTCCATGCACATGTTTAATAATTTATTACTGTTTAACTTTATTACTAAAAATTTAAATAATTTGTCATTTAAATAACTTAAAAATCCACATAAATAATTGGAAAACAATATATGAACACAACAACACTGTCTACCAAAGTATCTGGGAACTATGTGTGGAGAGAGCATTCTTCGCACTTTATAACAAAAAGCTGAGACATATCTGGGAAAGCATATATAAAATGAGAACTCTCCCCAAAATCCACGATTGTTAACTGCCCTATTGATCCCTAAGATTTATAAGCCTAGAATTGGGGGGAGAAAGGAAGCTCAGATAAAGAAGTTTTTAAATGTCCCACACTTCAACTTTATAAATAAGTGCCAGGATTAGTAATTTCAAACTGTAGTGGTCCCTTATTTTACATCAGAATTTCATCACTTCTCAATTTGTTACCAGTAACATAGTTACCTTGTTCTTTTAATTTAGGGAGCAGCTTGTCTAACACCACCATTTTGCCACTGTTGGTAACTAGATGCATATCTGTTGTATAAGGCGGACCAGGTTCAGCTCCATCAAATAGATACGGATGATTACAGCATTTCCTCAACTGCATCAGGATGTTCAATAACCTCATTTTGTCCATCTTCCCTGCAGAGTTTAATATATCTATATCCTTCATTAATATCCGAGTATACCTATTGAGAAGAAAAATATTTTAAAAGGGTTCAAATGTGCCCTGACCAGTCCCTATTACTTTCCATACTTAATTCCCTCCCCTACCTCAACCCAAAAATACCTGTGAAGAACCCATCAACTTCTAAGATGTGGTTAGGAGTTTACCACGTATTAAAACATCATTCTCTTTCCTTGTTTTTCTTTATTCCTCCCATTGTTCTAATGTTCACACTTACACTTTGGGCCTTGAGATCCAAAATAGTATGTCTCCTTGGGATGAATTAAAACAAAGCAGTATGACACAACATTTTTTAAATAATTAAGCCAAACTTAAAACTTAAGTTTTATTTTTTTTATTTTTTATTTTTAAGAAATCTCTACACCCAACATGGGGATTGAACTTACAACTTCAAGAAAAAGAGTCACATGCTCTACTGACTGAGCTAGCCAGGCACCCCAAAACCTAAGTTTTAAACATAATTTTAATTTGTACTCGTTTCCAGTGGAAGAGTGTCAATATTCAATTACTATTCAATGCATAAGTGTAGCACTTGAGTGAAAACAGATCTAAGGAGGGAGGAAGAATCATGATAGGGTAAGACATGATGATGAGAATAAAATGAAATCAATGAGATTTAAATATAATAAAAGTACATGGAGGGCAGGGGAGATATGAGGGCAGTAAAACTATAGCCACGGGCTATCAACTTTTTTTTACAGATAGAAAGGTCATCATGAATCAACAATGTGAAATGGCTGTAGAAAAGATTGTTACCTTAGCATATATTAACATATCTGCTACTTTATAAAAGCCTTCCAAAAGTTTTAAGAACATTTAGTATGGACTATTTTCTACAGTGGTCATGTCTTTTCTAGGTAACATGCCCATTTCTTTACATTTTATCCTTTCTTTTTACCAACCACTCCAGCCCCTTGCAAACACTTATCAATGTTAAGTATGGAATTGAATACACTTGAAATGTAGTGTAACCAGTAAAGAGTAAGTATGGCTATTTCTCTCCTTTGAACACTACACTTATGTTAATATATGCTAAAGTAACAATCTTTTCTACAGCCATTTCACATTGCTGATTCATGATGACCTTTCTATCTGTAAAAAAATTTAATTCTTAGTGGTTTCTAGCCTTTTGGTTTTCTTCCCCCCTTAAACCTTAAAAAAAAAAAGAAACTTATGAGGTTGCAACATTTTTATTATGCCCTAGAGAGGTGTTGAAAAGTAACTACTTTATATTACCACCATAAATTCACAAAGGGAATCCCGCCTAAAATAAAACATCCGCTCAGAATGGAGTCTTTTAAATTAAATATTTGTAATAGCTTTATGGACTAAAAGAAAGCACCTAAATTTTCTCTTATCTCTACAATCTCCAACTTCATCAGATCAGCCCTAATCCACAATCCAGTATTTATGAACCACCAAGGTAACCATCTGTCTGCATCTGTGCCACCAGTTTCTTTTTAAAAAACCCAAGTAGAGGAGTTTTTATATATATATATGTGTATATATATATATATATATACACATATATATATATCTCTGTTCAATTAATGCCAACTTTAATCCTTGGATTCATAAACTTCCCATCCTGATTATAAGCTAAAAGTTTTAAAGACTGTGTATTATAAATGTGATTAGCAAGTCCTAAATTACATCATCTTAAAACTCCAGGTTGAGTTCAACAGAGCAAACAGCAATTCCTTGCAGACACAATTAGGAAAACAAAATACAAATGAAAGTTAGTGAAGAATCAATAGTGATTTTAAAACATCTAAGAACACATACCATTCCCTTTGCATTTTGCTGAGACCCACATAGATTTTAACTTCCTTCTTCGGAGGCAAACTCTTTTCAACATCAGCTTTAATTCGACGAAGGAGGAATGGACGCAAAACCTTAAAGATCAAAAATAAACAGAAATTATCAAACACTGATGATGTAATGTATGGTGATTAACATAATAAAATTTTAAAAAAGCAAAAACTAACGATGTAATGTATGATTAACAATAAAATTTAAAAAAGCAAAAAAAAGAAACAAATGATCTTATCTATATTATTTCAGGATCTTAAAATTGTTTATTAAACACATGGAAATTTATCTGTTTGAGAATTTCTCCCTTCCAAATATAATGAGTTCCTGAAGGGTAATACAATATCATTACTTATTCAATACATATAATGAATATACACTTGCTGTATTGTCATAAGACACTAAAAACTAAATTTTTTTTTTTTTAAAGATTTTATTTATTTTTTTTGACAGAGACACAGCGAGAGAGGGAACACAAGCAGGGGGAGTGGGAGAGAGAGAAGCAGGCTTCCTGCTGAGCAGGGAGCCCGATGAGGGGCTCGATCCCAGGACACTGGGATCATGACCTGAGCCGAAGGCAGATGCTTAACGACTGAGCCACCCAGGCGCCCCAAACACAGTTAAGTTTTGATGCTTTCAACATTCACTGTCTTTGAGGTTTAAAACTAGTTACCATGTTCTCTTATCTATGGATTCAGTTACCTGCATCAACCACAGTCCAGAAGATGATCCTCCTCACATATCATAAGGTCAATAGTAGACTAATACCACATCACAATGCCTACATCACTCACCTCACTTCATTTCATCATGTAGGCATTTTATCATCTCACACATCATCACAAGAAAGGGGAGTACAGTACAATAAGGTATTTTGAGAGACCATATTTATATAACTTATAAAATATAATCATTCTATTTTATAATTATTGCTGTTAATCTCTCACCTCGCCTAACTTATAAATTAAACTATCATAAATATATATGTATAAGAAAAAACAGTGCATACAGAGTTCAGTATTATCCGTGGTTTCAGGAACCCACTGGGAATCTTGGGATGTATCACCTGCAGACAAAGGGCCAGGGGGCTGGGGGGTATTACTGTATTTTTATGTAGATTGTCCAACAGTACTTAAAGCTATGTCCACATTAAAATGTTTTTATGGTTAGTTTTTACATTTACTACCCTTTTGGTGGGTGGGGGGGATGGATGAAATAGATGGGGATTAAGGAGTACACTTGTGATGAGCACAGGGTGATGTATTGAATTGCTGAATCACTGCATTGTACACCTGAAACTGATAGAACACTGTATGGTAACTATATTGAAATTAAAATAAAAACTTAATAAAAATTTTACTACCCTTTTCCTATGGACATAGAACATAGAGAGTATACAAATCATGACTACACAGTTCAATAAATTTCAATCAAGTAAACATACCCATGTAATCAACTATCACCTAGATAAAAATAGAAACTGCAGAAACCCTTCTTGCAACCTTCCCAGTCACTATTCCCCTTAAATTTTAACATCATAGATTAGTTTCGCCTGTTATTTTTTAACTTTACATAGAATTAGACAATATATACCTTTTATCTCGTTTCTTTTATTCAACATGTTTGTAAAACCCATCCATGTTGTATGTAGTTCATTCCCATAAAATTTCAGAGTATCTACAAAACTAAAGATTCTTTATTTGTATCTTCCTATGTTCTATTTACACTAGCTTATAAAAATATGATCACAAAGAAATTAAAAACTTGTGAGAAAAATAATCAGCAACACTTCTCTAACATCATCATGTAAGGAAACTTGTATAGATAATCTTAGCTGACAGCCAGCATCCACTGCCAGATGTTACTAAAGACCTTCAGCCCCACTGGTCCTCTTCAGAATTGTCCAGGTAAACGCAGCTGTTTAAATCCAGGTAAAACCAGCAAAGAAAACACTCAGCCAACCCATAAATTCTAGGATTACTAAAACAGATACTATTAAGGGTTTTTTGGTAGGAGAGGGGAGTATTCTGCAGTAATAGATAACCGATTCATTAAGTAAAAATGACCTCATTCCTAAGTACACCTATGCTGATTCTGAATATCCTCTTTCATCATTAGACCACAGGAGCTAAGGTAGGAATTTTAAGACAGTAGAGAAAGGTAGCTACCAGACCTCTTCCCGATTTGATAAGCATTTTCACACTGTCTGAACAAAATAAACAGCAATGCCGAAAGTGGCTGATTCTGTTATGTAGATTGTTTTACATACATGTACCTATTAAAGCAAAGTCCACATATACACTCCATACTCTAATCTAAATTGAATGCTTATGTGCTTAAATGCCATCTAATTTAAAACAAAGATGTCTAAGATATTATCACCTTCAAAAATCTAACATAAAAAAATTTCAGTACATGAGAATTTTAAAGTACGTTATAATTAATTTATATAGAAACAGGTATTTAAACATTGACTTAATTTTTCCCCTATTCAAATACCCACTATAAACCAGGCATTGTGCTACAGATACAAACGTAAGACATGTTTCCTGCCTTTGTGTTTACAATGCAGGAAAAAATTTGTAAATTAAACATTTCAACATTCAGTGCAAAGTCCTATCTAAAATGCCTTGATTTTTAAAGATAGGATACAAAGAAGCTTCTAGGCTGGCTTCATCCGGATATTCAGTGGAAAAGGTGACATTACCACTGAGTGCTGGACTAGGTATCAGTGAAGAGCAGGAAAGGGGATACCAGATGTGGCAGAAAGGATCAGCAAAGACAAAAAAACTGAAATCAGTACAATGTTTACAGAAAATTGATAATGGGATCAGAAATTCTAACAAATTAAAGTGATATAAGAAGTGAAACAGAAGTTAGAGAATGTCAGAAAAGTTAAATCGTGGGGTTTAGGGAGGAGACTGACCCCCGCCCAGTGGACACTTGCAATGCCCAGCAACATGTTTGGTTGTCACAAATGGGGACATATTACTGGCATGTAGAGGGTAGAGGTGCCAAGAATGCTGTTAAACAAGAAGACCACCTTCCCTGTGCCCCTCAGAATTATCTAGACCAAAATGTCAACACAAGTCAAGAACCATTACATTAGGTCATGAAAAGCCTTATATGCTATGCTTACAAGGTCTGGTTTTATTCTGCTAGTCAGGCTATCATATTCTGGGTTCTGTTTGAGAAATTTATCTACCAACCAACTTTCACTTGTGAATCTTATTAAAAAGTAAAAAAGCTATGTATGTATCACAGCAAAAACTTACAACTCTGCTCATAATGCACTATTAGCAGTTGCTTATACAGTTGCAGGATTTAAGAACAAAAGATGGACCCCTTCAGCCTTTGAGAATCAAATCTCTTAGATTTGGATTACTTTTTCCACTCATTAAGTTAGGATTTCATCTTAGGTTCTAACACTAAATGCACACTTCACACCCCCCAACCCCCAGTATAAGATTAAACAGTTAAGTGACAGGATTCAAACAGATCTAATTCTAGTCAACATGTTTTTTTTGTTAACAGAATAATAATCCACTATTTTAAACCTCTTTCATTTTTCCCATTAGAAATATGCTTTAACCTTATTCCAAAACACTTACCATATGAAGCCTCTCAACTAGCTTTTGATCCCCAAGGCAATTGTTTGTATCAAACCATGAATCAAAGTCCTAGTTAAAAAACAAAAAATAAATATCAGAAATATTAACCACAGGCATTATCCATAAATATCCTTTTTATGCTAGATGTAACAATGAATTCTAGAATTAGTTTAGTATTTGAGCTGTGAACTGCAAAAATCATTTGGTTCAATCCCATATTTTTCATGTGTCATTGTTAACAATTCATTTTAGAACTACCTTGAGAAATCAGATTAAAAACATCAAGATGACAAGTTTCACACTGAAAAAGAATAGTTGGAAAGGAAGTTCTATAGAATTAGAGAACATTCTTGAAAAATATTTTCCTTTAGAAAAGCTGAAAAATTAAAATCACTTTGGTTGGTTCTCCAAGGCTACTCAGATTACTCAAAGTTTCCAGAGCAGTGTCAATTTTAATTAAGCTTACTAAATTACCAGCATTTCATTAGTATTTGGGTAGGATCTGAATAAGGATAACTTCCATATTCTTACCTCTTTGGCACATCTAGTATGTATTTGTGCTTTGTTAGTAAACATAATCGTAGGATTAATTATGTTAACTACAACAAAGCTTTCACAGATTACTAAACAAATTAAAGTGTCAATGCAGTAAGAAAAAGAAATCTCTAAAACAAAAACGTCAAAATACACAAAAGCAGAACTGAACTATTTTCCTGAGACTGATTAAATGTCTTCCAAGAACACAATTTTCTCTATTCTTTTAGTGATCCTTAACACAACAACCCAAAATTAACCCTTTTGGAACTTACTGAGCTCTTCAAAAAGCCACACACAAGCACAGGCTCTTTCTCTCTCTCTCTCTCTCTCTCCACCCATGGAAACAAAGTTCAAAAATGAACTCTGGTTCAGCAAAAAAAAAATGGTAATTACCAATAGCAGACTCTTAATATACATATTACGTTCTTAGGTACAACCAACAGTTTGAATAACTACTTAGCCATTTTTATCAGTGCAAATAATCTATTAAAAGGTAAAGATTAGGTTCTATGTTTGTTAGACCATAAAAAAAGATGGCTAGACAGATTTTACCAAATTTGAAGACCATCCTGGGGAAACACAGGCTATATGAAGTTCACAAATTCATTTGGGAAATAACCTGAGTCCACGTACAGCCGCTGAAATGCAGGCCAACGTGACTATTTGGTATGTGAATCCATGACATTACAGAGAGAGAAAACAACTGATTTATAGAATGATACTGAAATCAAAAGGCATAAAAATAAACTCTCGGCATCAAAAACTAATGATGTAATGTATGGTGGTTAACATAACAATAAAAAAATTATTAAAAAAAATAAAAAAATAAAAAAAAATAAACTCTCGGGATGCATAAAAAACTTGGTAGGTTACACCAGACTACGTAAAAGTAAAAAATTAACAATTATCTTAAGCAGTGGCTGAAAGGCCAATTTTATTACAAAAACGTATAGCATTAAACAAAAACATTAATATTCCATCTAGAAAATAAGACATACTTACATCTGCTGAATTAAAGACATCTGGCAACAAAAAATTAAGAAGTGACCAGAGCTCGTGCAAGTTGTTTTGAAGAGGTGTTCCAGTCAGTAATAGTCGATTTGTGGTCTTGAATTCCCTCACTATTTCTGACAACTAAAAGAACCAAATTCATCGTTAGAATATTCTACATACTGATCAAATTCTATGAAGGCACAATGATTTTCACTTCCAAATACCAAATTACCTTGGATTTTTCATTTTTGATCCTGTGAGCTTCATCTATAACTAAGTACCTCCAATTAAATTTTTTGAAAACAGACTTCTCTTTTATAAGCATTTCATAAGATGTTACACATACATCCCATTCTCCTGGTAATAAAACATCTCTGACAAAAGCAGCCTGTGTAGGTAGCAAGAGAAAAAAGTTATCACGCAGAAATGAACTACACATTAAATGTACTGATGACAAGTAATCTAATACATAAAAGAGGGTGAAAAATATTAAAAAGGGACAGTATGTAAGCAACTAGAACCAGCTCAAACTAACTTCATTAATCACTTCTAAGTGTCAAAACCATTTAATAAAAAATAACTGACAAAACTGATGAGTGCAAAATTCAATCAACTAACTCTTAAATGTCTTCTCTTCATTTCCACCAGGTGCTGAAATTCTCAGGAAACGGGTTTAGAAAGAGAAGGTGGTTTCTGCCATAGAGTGAAGACTCAAGGACGGTTTGCAGCAAGCATTTTCATTCCTTTCATGTTTACAGATCTAATAAAACTTTGTTATTATTACTCTCATTTTACAAGTAAAGAAACTAAAGCAAAAAGTGGTTTAACTTGGGCTCCAAAACATAAAAAGCAACTTGGTAACTTAAAATACACAAAATGATCTATAAAAGGAGAAAAGAAATGACAGCTGAATGAAGAGAAAACAAAATTACATACATTATGCTTCGATATACTACACTTTAAAATCTGAACTTTATATCTTCAATAGTATCATTAGTTCCTTCCAAAAAATGTCAAGTGACCAACATTTTAACTTATTTCAATAAATACCATACCAACTCACCAAAATACTGTTAATTGACCCAGTCCATCTTTAAAAATTACGATGACTATTAATTAGCATTACGTACATCAATCTAAAAAAATCTGGCTCCTCAAATTTCCAACCAATTCACACACTCAGAACTTCTTTTAAAAAAAAAACAAAAATGTTTCTTCTAGAATGAGAACACAGCCTTTGATTTTATACAACCAATTCCAAAGTAAAAGAAACAAACTATACTTGTATAGCATCCTACAGTCTACAACTCCTTTCTCCAGTAGGATTCTTCACCACCAAAGACAGTATTACATTTATAAATTACTAATATTTGTGAAGACCAAGTTTATTACTGGACTCCTCCTCTTTTATCCCTCCTCTAGTTATCTCCCCCAAACCTAAATTCAAATTCTTTTAATATCAAAAATGTAATGAAACACAAAAAGCTTACTCTTTGTTCTTTATCTCCTATCAAACAAACAGATCTAAGTGTTGGTACCCATCTCTTGAATTCACTCATCCAGTTGTGTAATGTAGACTTAGGAACCAAAACCATATGAGGACCAGGAATGTTTCTATAGTGTTTCATGTACCCAAGAAGAGAAATTGTTTGAAGAGTCTTTCCCAGGCCCTGAAGGAATAACCACAAAGCAATGATAATCAAAACAAAATAGACACCCATATTTATATTTCCTGACACATAAAACATTTAAAAGAAAACCCATGTGTGTTTATGATAGCTAACAAATGGCAAGAACTTGGTATGTTTCAAGTTTAGCTGTGTTTTTTAATCTTCACAAAGTCTATAAAGAGGTTCTACTAACCATATCCATAAGGCCCAGAAGTTTAAGTGACTTTCCCAAAGTCATGCACAGCAGGGCTACAGTTAAGACCCATTTCTTTTGACTCCGTACTTTCTTCAAGCAATTACGGTTTTAGCACTATACCTCTATGGAAATTTGAAACATTCACTACATACCTATTAAGTAGTAAACATGAGATAAATGTTTTGAAATAGAACTGTACAAGCTGCCACCCTTGAGAAAATAATCACTGATGAAAAATCAATTAACCCCATTTGTGTTTTATAAAAGTGAAGGGAAATGGCAAAAACAGTATATTACAAGAGTCTACCAAAAGTACGTCTCTCAAAATGTATTACTTTTAAATTTATTATACTTTCATAAATAATAATTCCTCACAACTGAAGTATAGATTCTGCTTATGCAACTAAACCAAGTTTGACAGAGGATTAGTTTGTTAACACTTCTGGATTGTAATCAACAAAAATTATGTTACACTATCTTAACTTTTATAAATTTCATGATACAAAATACTTTAAATTACAAAATATGGCCTTCTAAAAAACTACCAAATACATACCATTTCATCTGCAAGGATACCATTGATGCCATTCTCATACAAAGAAATGAGCCAATTTAATCCTCGGACCTGATAATCTCTCAGTTTACCCCACTTTACATCTAAGAATAAAAGAAAAAACACAATGCACATTTTAAATACAAAAAGGCTGTCTCCTTCTTCATTTGATACTCAGTCTTAACTTGGACCTACATAGGTTTACTCTGACTTTTCTGTTTTCAATTTCTAAGTCATTAGAAGTAGCTGCTGTGATCTGAAGCAGAGAAGCAGTGAATGGATAGGGACAATAACCAAGTGAAACAAAACAAAACAAAACCATGATTGTAAAGCATCAGAGTGCCTACCCCAATCACTCAGTTCCTATGTTACCTATATACTGGTCCTAGAGACTCTCACCTCTTTATATCCTTTTTAAATGTTATCACAAAAGTTTCTTTTTAAGATTTTAATTTATTTACTTATTTGAGAGAGAGAATGAGAGCACAAGCAGGGCAGAGGGAGAGGGAGAAGCAGACTCCCCACCGAGCAGGGAGCCCGATGTGGAGCTTGATCCCCGGGCCCTGGGATCATGACCTGAGCCAAAGGCAAACGCTTAACAGACTGAGCCACGCAGGCACCCCACAAGTGTTTCTAAACCAAGTATTTCTACCTTCCATGATAACCCAAATAGACACTCTCTGGGGATTTAGTCTTCCTCCTAACAAAGGGAAAATAAGACAGGATAGAGACTGTTTTCCCTTTACCTTTTCTAAGTTACTTTTCAACAGGGTCCTGTTAGGACAGACAGTATTTCTTTTGGGGTTTACTACACATTTCCCACCCCAGAATAATTACTAAGTATATCCATCACAATCACCAGATGTTTTTAACGTGCACATCTGTACCCCATCACCTTTCAAAAAATACTGCTTTAAGACGAAAAACTAACCAATACTGGCAAAACTAGTTACAATGTAGGAATGTAAGAAAGAGATAATCCAAGTAATTCAAATTTCCTTCCCGCTTTGTACCATATATCTGGCTCTAGTCTCTAACTTGATGAAGGAAATGGAAACTGGGTACTCCATAGCCAAAAAATATCTGAAGATACATACTTTAAACAGATTACTGAATTTCTAGCCAGATACCGTCTTGCCTGAAGTTCAACTTGTTAGGAGTTAAAGTTACAGTTAATTAAATAACAAGTCCAAATATGTCCTATATATTGACCTTTCTAAATTTTTGTTGCTGTTCACAACCACTACGATCATACAAACCAATTATCAAGGAAGAAAGAGGAAGATCAGAAAAAATGCTAGGCTGCAGTAAAGATAAATGTGCCACCAGACTATCAAGATTATATAGAAGTAAAACTTAAAAACCTGGTTAACCAGGTTTTCTTTTGGGAAACCATTAATAACAAATGTTTCAGAAAAAAATTTAAAACAAACTAATATAAAATCCCGACATCAGTTACCAAAAGTCTTCATGAAGTGCTTTTTTTACATATTAAGTTTTCTTATCTGGGGCAAATATAAGGGAAAACCATTCCTAGTTTTACATATACATTCAGGCAACAATAAACACAATGGCATTTTATACCCCTTTGAAATACAGCACCATTATCATACTAACTGATATTAATATATTAACACCATTTCCATCAAAAAAGAAATCTCATTTCACAATTTCAAAAGATTACTAAAAATTCCCTTTATAAATTACAGCCAAGACAAATCCAAAACTTTAACCAAAAGATGTCTCAAAAGGGGATTTTTTTTTAAAAAATCAAAGTTGTAAATATAATGTATATAACATACATGATGGAGAATCTTCAAATCGAGTGCAAACATTGGTTGCTTTAGAGCTTTCTGTTAATAGTTCTTCATCTTCCTCTTGCTCTGTTCTACGATGTCGGTAGCTGTCAAGTTCAAGATAAAATCAATTGATTAGCACTTTAATAACCTGCCAGCAGCTACTATTTGAACATAATAGTCAAGTGGCTGACCAAGATTCCACAATAATTTTTCATAGGCATTTAAATTAAGGCTAGAAAAGTGGAACAGTATGAATTATTAAGTAAACTTAAACCTGAAATGTTTTACATGGCTTTCTAAGATATACATACAATTGTTAAAACAGAGTAACACCTGAGGTAATGGAATAATCTCATTCCAAGGAACTACAGTCAGAAAAATGCCATAATCTCTAACTTAAAGTTACCTTTTTAAGTATTTTTGCTAGAAAATAGCTCCAGAAATCACATTTTTAAAACTATGACTCTTTTTTTGAGAGAGCAAACACAGAGGGTAGGGACAAAGGGAGAGGGAAAAAAAATTTGAGCAGACTCCACACTGAGCTCAGAGTCCAAAGCAGGGCTCAATCTAAAAACCCTGAGATCACAACCTGAGCTCACGACCTGAGCTGAAACCCAAGAATCTGAGGTGAAAGCCAAGAATGGGACACTCAACCCACTGCACCACCTAGGCAACCCTTAAGAACTATAACTTTCAAAAGGATGAGATTGTGCCATTGGAGACAACCCGGGTGGACAGAGGGTATTATGCTAGGTGAAATAAGTCAGACTGAGCACGACAAATATATGACTTCACTCATATATGAAATCTAAAAAAAAAAAAAAAAAAAGGCAAAATCAGAACTATAAACACAGAGAACTGATGGCTACCAGAGGGGAGAAGGGTGGGGCCCTGGGCAAATGGGTGAATAATGTGAGAGGAAGATACAAGCCTCTAGTTATGGAATAAGTAAATCACAGCAATCAAAAGCAGAGCATAGGAATACAATCAATAATATTGTAACAGCAATGTAAAAGAACAGCTGGTAGCTATACTTAGGATGAACAAAGCATACTGTATAAACTTGTAAAATCACACTAAGTTGTACATCTAAAATTAATGTAACATTGTATGTCAACTATACTCAAAAATTAAAAACAAAGAAACTTTCACTGTGGAAAGCATATAGTATAATGTATAGAGCTGTGGAATCACTATGTTGTACACCTGAAACTAATGTAACATTGTGTGTCAACCATGCTTCTATTAAGAATATGTTTTAAAATAAGTAAAAACTACAACTTTCACCAAAAGCTGCAGAATATGCAGAATAAAGACTTAGTGCTTAAGCAATGACTCTTAGCCAGAGATTTATCAGAATTACTCAAAGCTTTTTAGAAATGCTTAGATTCCACATCCCAAGAGAGCTGGGATACATCCCCTTAAAACCTCATTTTCTGCAGTTTTAATATTGCCAAATTTCTTAATCTCTAAAGGGCTCAGGTTAGTAGAAAGTACTTACTCTCCAATTCTGAAGCTTCCAATTTTGTACCTTCATACTTTCAACAAATATTTTCATTTAAATTAGAAAATAGTAAATCTAATTTATAGCTTGATTTCTACCAAATCTACATGCTTGATGGAAGAGGATAATCAGTATTCTCAAAGAAACATTCCTCAGAAACTCAGACCAAAGCAGTAAATATATGCAAGAATATTCTTGCTTGTTTTATATGCTTCAAATTAGAATGTCTTAGTATGTTATTTCTCATACTTCTCTGCATTCTAACCACATGAAACTTAGTATAAAGATGTACCCTCAATTCTCATTTATTCTCCACAAACTAGGAAAGAACTTTAACTTTTTTTTTAAATAAAATCTCAGAGTCTATTATCAAGATGGTTGATTATTATGGTTATAAAACTGAAGATAAAGGCTGGAATGTGCTTATTACTTCAAAGTGAGGGTTCATTGAATATAACTGTAAATGATGGAAGGAAGAAAAAAACATATATGTCCTCATACTTAAGGATAGTACCATCACCCTAATTACTCTGCATAAGCTAACTTTCCACTTAAGATGGCTTGAAGGATAGAGGGAAAAAATCTGTTAACCAAGACTCCTTTTCCTCAATAACACCAGTAAGACCAAGCTGAGCAATTTATATTTACTACAAAATCTTTATCTTATATAATCTTAATAAAAATGTTTATTTTCATGAAATCCTACTAACTACCTCTATCATAAAAATATCCATTACAGTGCTTGGCATTTCCAGAGCAGAAGACCTGATGCCATTTAAATAGCTGCAAGGGGTGCCTGGGTGACTTAGGCGACTCTTGATTTTGGCTCACGTCATGATCTCGGGGTCCTGAGATTGAGCCCCACATCCGGCTCTGCACTGGGCATGGAGCCTGCTTGAGATTCTCTCTCTCCCTCCCTCTGACCACCCACCCCCGCTTCCACTCTCTCTCAAAAAAATTTTAAAATTTTTTAAATAAAAAATAAAAATAGGGGCGCCTGGGTGGCTCAGTTGTTAAGTGTCTGCCTTCGGCTCAGGTCATGATCCCAGGGTCCTGGGATCGAGCCCTGCGTCGGGCTCCCTGCTCAGCGGGAAGCCTGCTTCTCCCTCTCCCACTCCCCCTGCTTATGTTCCTCTTTCACTGTGTCAAATAAATAAATAAAATCTTTAAAAAAAATAAAAATAAATAAAAATAATTAAATAGCTGCAAACTTCTCAAGTCTGAACAATTTAAATACATCTGAAGTGCAAGTGTCTCTCTTAGGAAGTTTCCTAAGTATTAAAACAAAAGCACTCTGGTTACACACAATGGATAAGGTGTAAGATATAGTAGATGAATGGAATACCCCATTTAAGACTAAGGTATTATGGGACGCCTGAGTGGCTCAGTAGGTTAAGCGTCTGCCTTTGGCTCAGGTCATGATCTCAGGGTCGTGGAATCAAGTCCACACGGGGCTCCTTGCTCAGCGGGGAGTCTGCTTCTCTCTCTGCCTACCACTCCCCCTGCTTGTGTTCTCTCTGACAAATAAATAAAATCTTAAAAAAAAAAAAAAAAAGATTAAGGTATGCTTATGCTTTCTGATGAAAATCCCTTCAAGGTACAGCTCATGCTTCCATGTTTCTGTAAACTATAGTAAATTTAACATTGTTGAGAGCAGTTTGTGATTTCCTCTTTTAGATAACCTAATGGATTTAATTACTGATTATTTTTCATTTTTCACTTTGGGAATTACATGGTCATTCCAGGGAACTAAGATTACCCTAAAGCTATTAATATCAAATCTAGGGCGCCTGGGTGGCTCAGTTGGTTAAGCGACTGCCTTCGGCTCAGGTCATGATCCCAGGGTCCTGGGATCGAGTCCCATATCGGGCTCCCTGCTCAGCAGGGAGTCTGCTTCTCCCTCTGACCCTCTTCCCTCTCATGCTTTCTATCTCTCATTCTCTCTCTCTCAAATAAATAAAATCTTAAAAAAAAAAAATCAAATCTATTAGTTATAACCAATTAAACATCTTAATTACTCAAGCAGTACAAAAATTTCAAGAAAGTATTTATAAACTGAATATGTAAGTTATTTTACACGTTTTAAACAACCACGTAAGGGCAGCATACATCTTGACACTTCAATTTGTAGGACAACTAAGTAATAAAAATTTTAAACTCCTATGGCATAAATCATCACAACATTCCATTTACAAGCATAGACTTCAGATAAAAGAAATCCCCCGATGCATGTATGTGTTTTATGCCTACAGCATACCCCAAATCAGACCTAACCTCAAGCTTGGATTATTCGAATTACTTCTGTGGGATGTTAAGTAGGCTGCTTAACCTCTGCATTTGTTTCCTCTCCAAGGAATGGATAACATCTCAATTCCATAAACAGGATAATGCCATAAAAGCTAAGGCATTACACATTATTCTTATTTATACATGTATGGCTACATCCTGTCAAGCCAACTGGCGCCAAATAAATTACAGCCCTAAAACAATTGTTTTAATGAAGTGACTTTACGCTTCTAATGAAGATTATCAAAAATAAATGTTTCAACTATGAAATATAAACTATTACTCACTCGCCAACTGATAGCAAGTTTTGTTTCTCATCCTTTTTTATTCGTGGTCGCCCTGGTTTCATCTTCAAAGGTGAGGTTGGAGTCTTCTGAGCAGCAGGCTGGATGAAATGTGCAAACAGCTCTGTCTGCTTTAATAAATATTCAAATCTGTTTGCTCGGTCAGTTTGCTGCAAATAAATTTTAAGACACATTTTATCAGAAGATTAATACAACTTCAGAAATCAAAGTTTCAACATGCCTCTAAATAGTGAACTCAGCAATAAAAAGGAAGAAATTACTGAGACATGCAACATAGATGAGTTTCAAAAGCATTATACAAAAAAAAGGGGGGCAAAGCATCAATACTAAGTGAAAGAAGCCAAACACAGAAAGACTATATACTATGATTCCACTTACATGAAATTATAGCTAGTTATAGAAAGCAGATCTGAAGTGTCAAGGGGATAAAGACAAGAGCAAATTTTTCAGGGCATGATAGAACTGTTCTACATCATGAATGTAAGGTGGCTGACTGCATGACTCTGCCAAAACTCACTGATTTAAACTTAAAACTGTCTTGTGTCAATTATACATCAATATAGTGGACCATAAAATGTCAAAAAATTAAGACATTATTCAGTACAAGTGAATTTATTCAGAAATGGGGAAAATGCATTGGCCATTCATCAGTTCAATTGCGCCAAATTTTAAAAAGGTATCAGGTTAAAAAGCATTTATTAAGGGGCACGTGGATGGCTCAGTTGGTAAAGCACGACTCTCAATCTCAGAGTCGTGGAGTTCCAGCACAGGGCTTACTTTAAAAGAGTGGGGGGGGAGGGCACCTGGGTGGCTCAGTCGGTTAAGCGTCTGCCTTCAGCTCAGGTCATGATCTCAGGGTCCTGGGACTGAGCCCCACATGGGGCTCCCTGCTCAGCAGGGAGTCTGCTTCTACCCCTCCCTCCCCCTCGTGCTCTCTCTCTCAAACAATAAAATCTTTAAAAAAAAATTTATTAAGTTCATGAAATATTCATTAACCCAATGCAGTTAATACTGTTTCTTCCTCTCACGTCTAACCTCTGCCACTTATCACACTAAGAGAATGGAAGAATATGAACCAAAACAACTTAAGATCCTTGAAATCAACATGCTTCTCCATGATAAATTTCCTGTAGAAGACAAGCTTGTTTTGTTTTTGAAGATTACGAACTATTTTAAAGTACTGAACTAAGATACTTATGTGTATTTTGCAGTATTTCATTTCTTAATGCATATAATAAAAAAGCCAAGAACATGCAACTAGAAGACACTGGGGCTGAAAAAGTCTATTCAATTATTATAATTATATTTGGAATCAAAATAAATAGGCTCTGGAAATTAATTCAGATAGGTCAGAGCTAGACATTTTAAGGTAAAACCTATTCTGCAGTATTCAAAAATCACTAAGTATTCTTCACTTCGTTCAAAAGTTTTCAATAAACATTATCTTCTTAAATAACTGTTCAATTCAACAACTACTTTTGTGTATCTACCAGAAAAGGCATTTTTTTTTCCATTATAGTCCAATATCAAAAATAAACCTAAGGGGGCGCCTGGGTGGCTCAGGTCATGATCCTGGGGTCCCGGGATCGAGTCCCGCATCAGGCTCCCTGCTCAGCGGGGGGGTCTGCTTCTCCTTCTGACCCTCCCCCCTCATATGCTCTCTCTCTCTAATAAATAAAATCTTTAAAAAATAAAAAAAAATAAACCTAAGGGATTATTTGAGATTGTCAGAAGGTGGTAAATGCTCAGAAAATAAAGCAGGGTAAAAGGAACTGGGAATGGCACTAAAATTTTAACAGGGATGACCAGGAAAATCCTAAGACATGATGTTTCAACAGAGATGGGGGGCCCCTCACCCCCATTCTTAGATCTTATCACACATCTCTAATTTTCAAAAACCTTTAATGGCTCTAGATGTTTTAAGATTTTTCAAAGTGGGGCGCCTGGGTGGCTCAGATGGTTAAGCCTCTGCCTTCGGCTCAGGTCATGATCCCAGGGTCCTGGGATTGAGTCCCGCATCAGGCTCCTTGCTCAGCAGGAAGTCTGCTTCTCCCTCTCCCTCTCCCCCTGCTTGCTCTCTGTCTCTCTCGCAAATGAATAAATAAAATCTTTAAAAAAAAAAAAAGATTTTTCAAAGTGTGCTTCATGACCCATCAGAACAAAAATATCCAAGACCTTCTGCAAATCAAGTTTTGAATTACTGCCTTAAGAAATTAAGTATAAATTTCACCACAGTTCTACGTAAAAGTCAATGACTTAAAAATTCTCACCATTCATTCATCCAAGTGGTAGTGGGATTATAAACTAGTTGCAAAGAACCAAGGAGTTCAGAACAACATTTACAAAATAAGCTTTCAGTAGAACTGTGGCAAGGGTTGAAGGAAAAACAGGCAAAGACCTTGGGTGAGAATAAGAATATTAAAATAAAAATGATTTGAGATCTTAAAGAGAAGGGAGAAAACTAACAGATCCTTAAAAAGTAGGAACAATAGGGCGCCTGGGTGGCTCAGTTGGTTAAGCGACTGCCTTCGACTCGAGTCATGATTCCGGAGTCCTGAGATCGAGTCCCACATCGGGCACCCCTTCTCTGTGGGGAGCCTGCTTCTCCCTCTGCCTCTGCCTGCCACTCCCCCTGCTTGTGCTCACACTGTCTCTATGTCAAATAAATAAATAAAATCTTAAAAAAAAAAAAGTAGAAACAATAGAATAAGATTAGGAACCTGAAGGACATAAATTATAAAATCAAATGGAAGATTAAAATCAATAGCTTAAAACCAGTTTCTTTCTCTGAGACAGAAGGAAATGACACAGGGCAGGTACAGGCCATAAATATTTGGAAACAAAGAGGAAATAAACTGAAGGCCTGTAATTATTTGTGGAAGAAGCCTGAAAATAAGGGTGGGAGAAATGGAATAGAAAGTTTATCCAGAGTGGTTAAGTTTTTAAATAGCTAAATGGATTGCTGTGCAACAAATACTGAAAGCCTAAGAGAATAAAAACCGTAAATTTATTCTGGTACCAATCAGCACTATTATTTAGTTTTCTCAAGTAGTATTCAGCAACCTCGGTTCAAGAATGAAGAGTGGATACCAAGACTTACCTATGGTTAGAAACTTGCAGATGATGGGGAACTTGCTTAAAAGAAAAGTAATCAAGATCATGATTAGTGAAAAAGGAAATAACTAGGAAACTGAAAAACTTGGAAGAAATGTATGAAGAGATTTGGAAGAGGCCAGATTATTAAAAGGGAAACAAATACAGAAGCCAACAAAATAACCCATGCAATAGAAGAATACTGAATAGGGCAATGTGGAAAAAAGAGGAACTATTTTTGAGGTTAAACTTGCAAGACTATTAAAATTATGAAGTACCGTCATGGACAGCTTGGGTATATATTAAGAGGAACTGTCATTGATTGAGATAACACTAAGTAGATACGTGAGGTAGAGAAAATAAATTCAATTTTGGATATTCCTAAGAAAGAAGTACGTACCAAAGGGACTTAAATGTCCAACAAACAAATGAAAATAATACAATGGCTGGAAGCATCTGGGCTAGAGATAAATATTGAGAAAAATTCAGTTTAAAGAAAACCAATGATAGGGTTTCCTGGCTGGTTCAGCCAGTGGAGCATGTGACTCTTGATCTTGGGGTTGAATTTGAGCCCTACCTTGGATGTATAGATTACTTAAAAATAAAATCTTAAAAAAAAAAAAGAAAGAAAAAGAAAAGCAATGATAAGGATCAAACTGTTCAAGAGGAAATGTTTAGGATGAAGGAGGACAAAGGAATAGTCAAGTAAATAGGATACCATCCAGGGAAAAAAGGTCTCTCAAGGCAAGTAAAAATTTTGAGTGGTCGACAATATCAGAGAAGTGAGATTAAGAATGAAAGTAAAATTAAACTATAAATTGGAAATTAGATTCACTAGTACA